AAGCAGCATACCGCTACTTCGATAATAAACTTTTTCAAAATGCTTCAGAATATTGTTTATCTATGCACGGGTGTTGTGGATACCTCATTTGGAGTCTATTTAAAAGGAAGATGGTACATGTAAAGAACTTCTTTTCAAAACAATGTGTCCATGTTTGATACCAATTCAACCTGTCGGTGAAATAATAAAAAGTTGGTATCCTCAGAAAAAGGAACTGGGGTCAGCTTCAATGTTTAGAACTGACTCCGGTTCAACTTTCCACAGGGGTCCAATTTCAACACTACACCGCCAACAAAATAGTTGGCATATGTAAAGGCCAAGATAACAGCCGAGATAAAAAAAAAAACAAAAAAAAAACAACGTCAGATCATGCCCTGAGGCAGTGGAATACTGTAGTTTGTAGTCCAAGGGGCACATACTGTACAGTATCTTGATACTTGTACAATTGGGGTTCTGTTCATATGTATAGTTATGTAGTTATTTGAGGAGAAAGAAGGAATTAAAATATCTCAAACTAAACTTGTGCTCCATACATGTTGATTATATGCAAATGAGGTCACTGATTGACATTGTTAAGGACACAATTTGCGACAGTTTGAGGGGTCGTCTCAAAACAGTACTGATACGAATTTTATCAATATTTATATGGAGTATGCTTACTTGCGGGAACCGGACGTAGCTCAAGTTCCAATCGATTCCGTTTTTATATTTTCAAGTTTTAGAAATTGAACCAAATGGATTATGCGCTGGCCGACAGCGGTCTTACACAAAACAAATATATTTTACTTTGAAATATGGCAGTACATAAATTACGTAGTAAAATTTCGCATATGTAAACAAAATTAAACATGTGCAAATAAAACTTTTGGTTTAAGTAAATATCACGCAAATCTAGTCAAGTGAATTGCAGTTGTTAGGCAGGACCCCTGAGAAGATTCAATTTGCAGCCTTCAATTTAGATAAAAAATCGTATAATAGCAATTGAAAACGTCAACGTCGAGCAACGAAACAAATACCAGGACTTTTTTAATTATCTTACAAGGAAAGTTTACAAAAATTAAGATTACCAACTTAAGCCTAAGTTCACGTGTTGATATGAGAGAGGTTGATAAAAGTATTTCCGGTAACAGAACGAAGACATAGCATATTAATTAACATTGTCAACCACCATCCGTTCTCCTTCGGTCGGGCAACTAGTGGCGTTAGCCTATCATGTGGAGGTATTTTCATGTTCCTCAACAAAAGTATGTACATGCTCCTGATCAGTATAGATCACTGGCCCCTTTTGTATACAAAGCACACTGATCATTAGGTTAAAACATGCGACACTGGTAGCACGACACAAACAAGCCTGTACTAATAAGCTTACACAGACAGATTCACTGCTGCTCAATCTTTCGCAGTTCTTCAACTCATCCTAACACTTCTTCAGCTCATGAACCCAAACAGTTCTTCAGTTCATCCTAAAACTTTCTTAGCTCATCTTTACACTTCTTCAGCTCATGAATCCTTACAGTTCCTCAGCTCCTCCTAACAGTTCCTCAGCTCCTCTTAAAAGTTCTTTAGCTTATCCTAACACTTTTTCAGCTCATCCTAACAGTTCCTTAGCTCATCCTAACAGTTCCTCAGCTCATCCTAACAGTTCCTCAGCTCCTCCGTGGTAAATTCTACTCCATATCTAAGACAAACTTATATCTAACAAAACTTAATGAAAAAGAAATGAAAATTATTAAAAATAAAAATATTAGTTTCGAACGTCCAATCTAAATTTCCCAATAGAGACTGGACGCTGGAATGCAACTCTAAAATCAGATTAAGTCCTTTATGTCAAACAGGAATAGGTGATGAACCACATTATTTGTTTAAATGCCAAAATACTAATATATCAACAATAAGAAAAATATATATCCATAATTATTACACTACAAACGTCATCAATTTTAAGCTAAAAGGAATTTGTAATTTAAAGTTTTTACCTAAAGTGAGCCGTTTTCTAGAGAAAATAATTAAGACTTAAAGTGACATAAGATAACTACAGTGCTATTATATATTTACAGGTTGTATAAACAATCTATACTCACTTTGCTATGTAATTGAAATGTATCAAGATGTTGACCTCTTGTAACACATGGGATGTCATGAGTGTAAAAAGTAAATCTTGAAAATCTTGACTTTGTATACACTATTGATATATCATAGGAATCATTTACTAACGCTGTAATTGAAAGTCACGTCGATATTATCGATGATGTTACTACATCCTATAAGATATGTGTCAGTCCAAGGTGTATTGTTAACGTGGTACCTTTGTATCCCTGTTGTATTCGGTAAAGCCCACGATGTAACCTGCATATCAAAATATGGCAAATTGTTTTTGAATGATTACATTGTAAACAAAACAGAAAATGTACTTGAATGGTAATGAATTCCCTGTAATGGAGGCAAGTTTGTGATAAGGTAAATAAATTCGAGTCCAAACTTGAAAATTTGGGAGATTTGTAAACACTGGTAGATAAACATCAGTCAATTCTGTTCCTGAGTCCTAGTACAAATTTATGATAAATAATTTCGATCTTTGAAACATGGAAACATTCAACCGGCCAATAGATTTAAATGTTGCCTGGCAACCTCTGTTAAAAGCAGAGTACAACAGTCAATATATTATTTAATGTACACAACTAGGTTTAGCAAAGTTCAACGACTGTCACTATTGTGAACTATTCGTTTAAGAACGTTTTAAAAGAAATATTTCATAAACTTTACATAAACATTTACATTACACAGCCAACACTTTACCAAAACTTCCATAAAGGAAATATACCAGCAGCGCATCGTCACGAGTGTCCAATGTATGGAGCACAACGTATATATAGAATTTATATATATTTTTAGCCGGAAAAAAATTCCTTTTGGTATCCTTTACCTGAATGGTGAGTGCTGAAAAAAATGCAACACATAACTTTTATTACACACCTACATTTTATCTTCATATGGATATCATACAAATCACTATTCATCATTCCCCCGTTTTCATGTTCATTTTGACCGCCGAAATCTTTAAACGAACAGCAATAGCTGACCAAAAGACGTCGAGGCCGGAGTAAAAATAGCCCTAAAATGACCCTAAATTTTATTCCGTTTCGGTCAGTCGATTTCATAAATGTATAACAACCGACAAATTCTAATGCAAAATGAATTATGCCCATGGTCATTAATCCGATCAGGATTTATCAAGAAACAAACATGTCTTCCTTCTCCATCTTCGTTTTATTCTCTCCCTATCACCTCCTATCTAGTAGAGATACATTCAAAAGCGAAATCGAAAGTGAAGTATTTCAACCGTAGTCATCTTCCTCGTGTATGCCAGTGTATGATATACATAATAGGGGCAATGCAACATATTGTTCTATGATTAGCTCTTTGCATTTACATTATTTCCTGCAAGGTCTGATGACCTGCATTCGGTAGTTTAAGTTCATTATCTAGTTCAACAATGTCATTACAAAGATAATTTAGATAGACATTGTCTACCTTATAATATACTGATATATATGCGTATACTACACCTGAATTACCTGCATGCTGGTTATTGTGTAAGCCTGCCTAGCTACGTCACGCTCTGTTTACAACCTGACGAATGAGTAAGTTTTTGTCTCATCTTATTATACAGGGGAGCACACAGATGAAACACTTTCACGATATACTACCTAACAAAATACAAGAGTAAAGAGGCAAGATAAAACATCACTTAATGTGTTTAGCAAACATGAATCACTCCATCCCAGATAGAAGAAGGTAAGCTAGATTGACTCCACAACAAACCTATGATGTTCCCTTNGGAGCCCCCCCCCCCCCCTATTTAAATTTTGTTCATAATTATAAGAGCAGTGCATCTCCCTTCAAGACTCTGCCAGGTTCTACCTTACAACATGTTGATATCCGCCGGGTTTTTTCCGGCTTATTCCGAAATATTTTCCAAACTCTCCAGCTCATCTCACTGACACTAAAATCATTATGCAGCTCCTGTTTTATAGCTCCTCGTGTATCTCCGCTTATACTTCATAAATCATTTTAATCACACGGCAATTTTGTAGGAATAAATTTAAACATATTTCCAAAAACTTAATTATCTCAAGAACTGACCAGTCAAATGTTACGAAACTACCAAACAATAGATTATCCATATTTTTGCCTAGCAACAGATAAGTCAAGACCGCAATATCTGAACCCAAACTGATAAGGCAATACCTTGGCATTACTTTACCTTTGTGGCTGTAACCAACCAAAGTTAACAACTGACCAACAGTAAAATAAAATAAAAATAAAGATGAATAATGGTTAGTTTTATTTGAGAAAATGTATTAAACTGATTGATTTTATGAGTAAGATAATACAGTAACATCAATTTGATAATTAGTAGTTGTAGACTGTGTAATAATGTTGTGTTGTGCCTTATAAAAAAGTCAAATTCTACTAAAAATTACTGTACTTGCTAACATTACTAATATTTGATTGTCAGAATTTTTGCCTCTTTCAAATTTTTAAAGGCAGAAGTATGTGGTCTATTAACCAGGCCTGTTTTATTTCGAATTTGAAGCTGAAAGGTAAAAAAACGCAACAATAGCATTTTCTCTTGCAATGATTTGTAAAATGATAGGTATGTATGGGTAAAGTTTCGCCATTTTTAAAATATCAACCTAAAAGAGTTGTCTATTCTTATATTAACAATCATAACTTGATATATAAGAATATGTAAATTCCTCCTTGCTTATTTTATAATTGTATTTCCTTGTCAAAAAAAAAGGCCAGAGGACACACGGAAATAAAGAACTTGAATTTGAACTGAGGAAAGATTCCAATTTAATTCCTTCATGGTCACCCAATAAACCTACAAAACATCCGCTACGCGAAATTCCTTATGATCAGTGTTTGGTCTGAATAATAAAAATGAGCTTTTGAGATGCCCCCTAAATCTTATCATCGGTGTCGGAACTCGGCTTCCCCTTAACAGAAATTTGATCAATCTGATATAAGCAGAGAGAAGTAACGGTATGAACCTATATTAAGGAGTGTTACAGATGGACAATAACTGCACTAAGGTCGCGCACATACACGTGTAAAAAGACATCTACTGTGCAAAAAGGGCTCATCGGTAAAGTAAGTGTTTTAACGCTTGGAGTTAAAGTTCTCTTTATGTATATGTAATATATTAACACACTGTTACAATTACGACAGCTTGTTCATTTATGATATCTTCGGGTCATCATAAAGTTCATACACTCTGTATATGTTCACTCTGTATAAAAAATAACCCTGTGATTTGGTTGACTCTTGCCTGTCCTGGACATTCACTAGTAACCGTTTATCTCTGTTTTATATTTTGTGATATTTTTCTACTAACTGTTTCAATATAATTCGTTTTAATTGTGTCACATTTGTCTCCTGTTAAAGGGGGCGTATCACCTTGAACATTTGACAATACTTCTGTTTGCTAATTGTGTGCTTGTATATCTACCTAAATGATGTACTACGTATCCAAAGAACATTTGTTTGGTTATATTGGACCATATAATATCATTATGAGACCTATACATAAACATGAATAAATATACATCTTTATGCAAACACTGACGGTTGGAAAATATAAATATGTTCAATAAATAAAATAAACTACGGTGAACCAAATTTCTGACCTTTTTCACACACGCGTGCTCAATGCTCTTGTATACATGTATCTGATTAGTCTTGGACAAACTCATTATATATAGCTAACAGGTCAGAGAGGACCCCGCAAAGGGGGTTTGCATTCTACTCATATAATGTAAGGGACTATTTCAAGTCATTAATATTTACTTATTTGTACCTATCTACTAGTTATTTTGGAAATGCATAATTGTAATATGAATGAAAACAAGTTGTATATTATGACATCAAAAATCATTCCGTTTCCTTATTATCTCACAATGTTTATTTTTTATTCAAATGTGTCTGTATTCGGTGATTGTAAATTGTACTATTAAATTATAGAGTGATAAATTATTGTGATCATCGTAATATAAACACCCTAACTGTGTATTTAACTGTTATAAACATCCTAACAGTGTATTTAACCGTTATAAACATTCCAACAGTACATATAACAGTTATAAACATTCCAACAGTACATATAGCAGTTATAAACATTCCAACTGTACATATAACAGTTATAAACATTACGTATGTACATATAACCGTTATAAACATTCCAACAGTACATATAACAGTTATAAGCATTCCAACTGTATATATAACAGTTATAAACATTCCAACTGTACATATAACAGTTATAAACATTACGTATGTACATATAACCGTTATAAACATTCCATCAGTACATATAACAGTTATAAACATTCCAACAGTACATATGACAGTTATAAACATTCCAACTGTACATATAACAGTTATAAACATTACGTATGTACATATAACCGTTATAAACATTCCAACAGTACATATAACAGTTATAAACATTCAAACTGTATATATAACAGTTATAAAAATTCCAACAGTACATATAACAGTTATAAACATTCCAACTGTACATATAACATTAATAAACATTCCAACTGTATATATAACAGCTATAAACATTACAACTGTATGTATAACCAAAAAGTTCTATGTCGAATGTGATGTTTAGATCTACCGACAGGCAACCGTCAACAATCCAGTACCAAAAACGCTTGGTCATCGGGGTGCTTGTAATTATAGGTGCGTTCGATTACCCAACATGTGACCAGTCAACAGTTTCACGTGACCAGTCAACAGTTTTACGGTGACCAGTCAACAGTTTTACGGAAGCACACATTAGCTATAGTTCGTTTGGTGAATTGTATGGGAAACAGTCGAAATTGATTAATATGCATTTATATAGCGAGTCAGGTAACAATTATAAATATTACAACTGTACATATAACAGTTATACACATTCCAACTGTACATATAACAGTTATAAACATTACAACTGTACATACAACAGTTATAAAAATTCCAACTGTACATATAACGGTTATAAAAATTCCAAAAGTACATATAACAGTTATAAACATTCCAACAGTACATATAACAGTTATAAAAATTCCAACTGTACATATAACAGTTATAAACATTTCAACTGTACATATAACAGTTATAAACATTCCAACTGTACATACAACAGTTATAAACATTACAACTGTACATATAACAGTTATAAACATTACGTATGCACATATAACAGTTAGAAACATTCCAACTGTACATATAACAGTTATAAAAATTCCAACAGTACATATAACAGTTATAAACATTCCAACGGTACATATAACAGTTATTAACATTACAACTGTACAAACATTCAAAATGTACATATAATGGTTATAAACATTCCAACTGTCCATATAACAGTTATAAACATTCCAACTGTACATATAACAGTTATTAACATTTCAACTATACATATAACAGTTATAAACATTTCAACTGTATGTATAACAGTTATAAACATTACAACTGTACATATTACAGTCATAAACATTCCAACTGTACATATAACAGTCATAAACATTCAAAATGTGCATATAACAGCTATAAACATTCAAAATGTACATATAATGGTTATAACCATTCCATCTGTACATATAACAGTTATGAACATTTCAACTGTATATATAACTGTTATATACATTACAACTGTACATAATTATAACAGTTATAAATATTCCAACTATACATATAATGGTTATAAACATTCCAACTGTACATATAACAGTTATAAACATTCCAAGTATACATATAACAGTTATAAACATTACAACTGTACATATAACATGTATAAACATTACAACTGTACATATATCAGTTATTAACATTTCAACTGTATATAATTATAACAGTTATAAATATTCCAACTATACATATAATGGTTATAAACATTCCAACTATACATATAACAGTTATAAACATTACAACTGTACATATAACAGTTATTAACATTTCAACTGTATATATAACAGTTATAAACATTTCAACTGTATGTATAACAGTTATAAACATTACAACTGTAAATATCACAGTCATGCAAATTCAAAATGTGCATTTAACAGTTATAAACATTACAACTCTACATATAACAGTTATAAACATTCCAACAGTACATATAACAGTTATAAACATTACAACTGTAAATATCACAGTCATACAAATTCAAAATGTGCATATAACAGCTATAAACATTCAAACTGTATATATAACAGTTATAAACATTTCACCTGTATGTATAACAGTTATAAACATTACAACTGTAAATATCACAGTCATACAAATTCAAAATGTGCATATAACAGCTATAAACATTCAAACTGTACATATAACAGTTATAAACATTCCAACTGTACATATAACACTTATAAACATTCCAACTGTACATATAACAGTTATAAACATTACGTATGTACATATAACAGTTATAAACATTCCAACTGTACATATAACAGTTATAAAAATTCCAACAGTACATAGAACAGTTATAAACATTCCAACAGTACATATAACAGTTATAAACATTTCAACTGTACATATAATAGTTATAAACATTCCAACTGTACATATAACAGTTATAAACATTACAACTGTACATATAACAGTATAAACATTCAAACTGTACATATAACAGTTATAAATATTCCAACAGTACATATAACAGTTATAAACATTTCAACTATACAAATAACAGTTATAAACATTTCAACTGTATGTATAACAGTTATAAACCTTAAAACTGTACATATAACAGTTATAAACATTACGTATGTACATATAACAGTCATAAACATTACAACTGTACATATAACAGTTATAAACATTTCAACTGTATATATAACAGTTTTTATCATTACAATTGTACATATTACAGTCATAAACATTCAAAATGTACATATAATGGTTATAAACATTCGTACTGTACATATAACAGTTATAAACATTACAACTGTACATATAACAGTGTTTAACATTTCAACTATACATATAACAGTTATAAACATTTCAACTGTATGTATAACAGTTATAAACATTACAACTGTACATATTACAATCATAAACATTCAAAATGTACATATAATGGTTATAAACATTCCAACTGTACGTATAACAGTTATAAACATTACAAATGTACATATAACAGTGATAAACATTTCAACTGTGTATATAACAGTTATAAACATTACAACTGTATGTATAACAGTTATAAACATTACAACTGTACATATAACAGTTATAAACATTTAAACTGTATATATAACAGTTATTAACATTACAATTGTACATATTACAGTCTTAAACATTCAAAATGTACATATAATGGTTATAAACATTCCAACTGTACATATAACAGTTATAAACATTCCAACTGTACATATAACAGTGGTTAACATTTCAACTATACATATAACAGTTATAAACATTTCAACTGTATGTATAACAGTTATAAACATTACAACTGTACATATAACAGTTATAAATATTTCAACTTTACATATAACAGTTATGAACATTCCAACTGTACATATAACAGTTATAAACATTCCAACTTTACATATAACAATTATAAACATCCCAACTTAACATATAACAGTTATAAACAATCAACCTGAACATATTATAGTAATAACTATTCCAGTTGAACATATAACAGTTATATACATTCAAAGACAAACTGTACATATAACAGTTATAAATATTCCAGCTGTACGTATAACAGTTATAAACATTCCAACTGAACATATAACAGTTATAAACATTTCAACTAAAAATATAACAGTTATAACATTCAAACTGTACGCATAACAGTTATAAATATCCCAACTGAATATATAACAGTTATGAATATCCCAATTGCACGTATAACAGTTACAAACATTCCAACTAAACACATTACAGTTATACACATTCCAACTGAACATATAACAGTTATAAACATTCCAACTGAATATATAACAGTTACAAACATTCAAACTGTACATATAACAGTTATAAATATTCCAACTGTTCATATAATAGTTTTAAACATTGAAACTGTACATATAACAGTTATACATATTCCAGCTGTACGTATAACAATTATAAATCTTCCAACT